TATAATAATATAGGTACCTCTATTATCATCTATTTTTATGTGGCACTTCCACATGGGGACTGAAACATTTGTACACTGTTTGGTATATCTACATAGGCAAAAATAGCCTTTGCGGTTTGGGGGAAGCTGATTAGCTGAACCTATTATAATATTGAATAAGCTTACAAATTGTATTATATTTTTTAGGGGGCTTAACCCCTAAAGCCGCCTCCCTTATTTGCTCTTTTAGGTACCTATAAATAGTATATTTTAGCACGTTTTCCATCAGGCAAATGACGCATGGAATATTTCATTTTTGTTTTTGAGTCAATTTTTTGTACTACGCCTGTAACGTTATACATCGACGACTGCATTTTATAGTGTTAGCCACTTATTAATGTAATAATTTTGGTAACCGACTGATAAGTGCAGTAAGTCACTACATTAAACGAAAGTTAAATCGCATACCATTGATTTTATTATCTTGTTATATTTTAATACCAATGCACATTGCACGTACATCGTATGCCACATACGCAATAATATGGTCTTTGCCTATTTACGGTTTTCGATAACTATGTACAATCGCAAACATTATTAACTGCGATTATGATGACAATTAGTAATCTCTGTATTTAAAAACTTTTAAAGTTCGGATTCCTGCATTTTTTTTCTGGATGTTAGCATTATAATAAATTATTATAATATAAGCTATGTATTTTGTAACAATTGAATACCTACTCAATAATTTTATCTTTTAATGTATATTTCACAGTTACAATCCATTACAAATTGAAAATTTATTTTTAAATAATTTAAAAACTAACAGTATCTCTTTTACATTTTGACACTTTGGGTCCATTGGGATATTGATTGAAAAGTTTAAATTTGTATTTTTCTTTGTTTGGAGCCGAGGACCATTTTGGTTAGGTTTTTGAATTAATTGAATTATTCAGATAATTCCGATCTATAAAAATCAGACTTTAGAAAAGGCGTAGTTTATTATTGTACTTACCTATAGTTATAACTTATAAATATTTTACTTTTTAGAAAAATGTGGGTTTTAACGATTATTAAAAACGTTAAAATTTTTTGAAATAATTAGGTACCCTTAAGTGTCTTCCGTAAAGATTAATATTTAATATCTAATGGTCACGTTAGAATATATTAATATACTTAGTATTATGTATCGATTGTACTCGTATTGAGCCATTATTAATACTTTATTTTCAATGACATGCCGCCATATAGTAATATGTTGACACGTTCTAAATTTTAAAGCCAGACTGACAGTTTTATTATTTTAAATACTTTTATGTTATCTTATCATATAATTACAGGTAGTTTGCCAGATATATTAAATGTTAAAATGCGAATATTGTTATGTGCGAGCACCTAGACACCAGCAACAGTTAAACCATTGTTCTATGGTTAAGAGTATTATAATAATATAATCATATGCAGAAAGGCAGAATGTAGATAATTATCTATGAAATAGCACTCAAATCTCGGTCGGTTTTGAAGACGATTTACCTGTACGCTCCACTTATACAGTTATGCATATCCTCAGTATATTTTATTTTTGTATTACGCACGACGGACACGAAATATCTAAATCAGTATTATTATTAATTTCATATTTTAACAATACTTTATTGATCTGTCGGATCAATGATATTGATCACGATGGCATATTCCAGACATGTTTTATAAATGCGTTAATCGTAATATCAATAATCAAACTAATTACTTATTATTATAATGATGGTTTTTTCGCTGTTTATAATTCGTGACCACCATAGGTACGTCGAGGACCGTTGTGTTATAATACAGTTCACACGCTTTCTCTTCACGTGCGTACACCTAAATATAGTATAATAATATTTATAATACGATCTATGTTTATGAAAAATGTTCAATGAGCACAGTTTATTATAATACAATATCACCAAACGTCCAAACGTTTTATAATGTTGTGAATAAACATTTTATCATCCATGATTAACTCTCAATCGGATATCATACAGGTAAGTGGTATACATAGCGTTTTTTGTTACTTATAAAGTTATAGGTTATTACTGACCTATATCCAAGTATAAGATATCATAATATAATACAATAGATAATTATAACATTTTTTTTTTAAAAACCAGGTCAGCAAACTAGCTTTCTTAAATTTTGAAACACAATATAATATTATAATATAAAATGAAAATAAACTTTTGTTCTTATAAGTTCGTCGAAACATCCATCTTACAAACTTACGACATAACAAATTTCGTTCCATAGTTTCAAATTTTCAATTGTGTGCTGTTAGTTTTGATATTAGAGTTAATATTGACATATTATCAAACTTTTAGGTTATAAATGAGTATGTGAAATATCACAAATTGAAAATACCTATACTCATATCTCACTTAAAAATTAAAAAAACCGAAGAATGTTCTTGAGTACGTGTGTATAAGACGGAGACAACAAATTCATGAGTAGCATCCTCTGAAGTGAAACAGTCTTACACCGTACCTATAATACCATATGACATATATGATAATAATGACAAAATAATTAGATCGCCTCTGCATAAACGGATAAGCTTTAGTCTTCGAATCGTCTATAGACTGGGTTTAAAGCGGGAAAAAATTCTAGAGGAGACTAATGTCTCCATATAGTTTTAAGCGCTCCATATATAATTTTATGTATAATGTCCAATGTATAAAATCGTAATTTGTTAAAGGGGACGCTTTTTACCCGCCGTCAGAGGTAGCGGGACCAAGTCCTCCTGTACCCCCTCCCCTTTAACCCCTGTCTATAGACTATACACTATAAGTATAACAAGCAAAAGCAATATTGCATTGTACATATTTTTTACCTACGTATATTAATACATGTATAACTTCTGCTGTTATAGCGCAACACCGCAACAATTCTATTTTCCCTACATAATATTTATAAATATTATGTACAACACAATCGCCGACGCAGTTATAAGAATATTATTATGGTCTTTGCGGTTGTGTACAAAGTCTTACAACAGCATTGTTGTGCACTGTACAGGAGACAATTATTTTATCATTACGTGCGTACGGTTGTCGATTAAGTGGCGAAACGAACCTAAAATAACCCATAAGCAACCTAAAATTGACACAGAGCCCACCTTCTTACTAACTATTTTTAATAAACAAACATGAGAACTATGGGTACTATAGCATCACTATTAGTTATTAGTTTATTACTATTTGCCTACGATAATATATTATTTAGTTATTGGTTTTTTACATTCGTATTGAGCACACATCACCNCCACCCACCCTCCCACAACCAATTTATAATAAACACGAGTACTATGGGTACTATAGCATCACTATTAGTTATTAGTTTATTACTATTTGCCTACGATAATATATTATTTAGTTATTGGTTTTTTACATTCGTATTGAGCACACATCACCCACCCACCCACCACTAAATATTAAAAATAACGAGAAGCATATCTTAGCTTCTCTAAGATCATGTTCGTTTGGGAACTGTGTCGATTGCTGATAAAAATTAAAAGTACCAAATAAAGTAAAAATAAATGAATAAATTAGTAATAATAATAGTACATATATGTACACATTTTATCATCGGTTTGAATTATTATTTTCAATTACTGGCTACTGCGGTAGTCCTACAGTTTAAAATGTGTATGCATATATGTAACCAGGTAACCTATATAGTTGGCTGCATATCTGAACTTTTGCCGTTGTCGTCGTAGCCCTGCAGTAGAGCAGAAAGAAAGGCCAGCGTGTGGTATATAATATTATATATAAATTATATTATAGTATGTTCATATTTGTACATAATAATATTATTATTGCAGTCTTCAAGGTTTGTTAAATGTTGCCTGCTTGTAAGAATTGTTTTATCCTTTCAATTTTTGTCGCAGCTCACTTCCAAATTTCCAATAGACAGAATTAAAATGACTTAAAAATACACAAATAATGAAATAAATAATTATTAAAACAAATTACTTTATAAATATTATATGGAATATTTTCAAGGCTAAACGTTAAATGCGTTGAATGTTTTGATTTAAAAAACAATGTTATTATGTGTGTGTAGTTTTTTTTGTCTGTTATCACCTTTCGGAGCAGTAAAAATACTTCAATTTTTTTACTCTGAAGGAGGTTTTAGATAGGAAATTGGGTATAGCTGGTACCTTTGGGTGCCAAAAGTAAAAATTACCAGTAATTTTTTAATATTTGGAAAATACAAAATAAAAATACAAATAATGAAAAACGGGAGTATATTTACCCAAACCCATTTTTGACAGAATCAGATAGGTAACAGAATACTGGTAACACGTTACCTACAAGTTGAATATATTCAACTCTACACGACACGGCGAGCTGTGAATTCCCCTTTATATGTATTAATATATTGCTTACAATAAGTCGTTCCAATAAACCTTCGTATTTAAATGTACATATTTTATTTTAATGCATGTTCACACTTTGTACATGTTCAAGGTTGAACCTAGATAGCTCATACGATATTGTACAAATCTATACTACCAAATACATGTTATTTATTTACATTTTATGTCATATTTTTATTTATTTTTATGTTTGTTTAAAATGTCATGAATCAAATATTTCTATACGAGTATAATTCACGTCAAGTCAATTTTATGGGTCCACTAGGCTCAATATATTTGTAATGGAATTAGAGTGTTATTATTTTATGGTAGATATATCTTGCGCGTTTTTAATTTAAAAAAAAAACAGAACAACGACCAAAAAATCAACAACACCAACAACAACAACAAAAAACCACCAACCAGAACTTATAATTTCGAATAACAACAGTCAACAAAATATTTTATTAATAACTATGATAAATGATAATATAAACAATAACAACAACAACGACGACGATCAACATTCAACAGACCGTCGCCGCTCAAACGTCTGTGCCCGGTGGTCGTGTCCGTCCGCAGTGTCGCCCCACTCGTGAGAACCGCGGGGGGAGAGGATCAGTTGGCTGCACTAAGGCGATCGTGGTCCTCTGTCGCAGTATGTTGTTCTCCGCACACGCACAGACACGGAACATAAATAGCCATTTATTATTATTACATCCGGTGGTGGTGGTAGCGGTGGCGGCGGCGTATCAATGAATCGTTGATGGAGTGCGGAGCGCGGAGTGCGGACAGTCGTTGTCAGTGATAGTAGTGCGTTACCATTATTATGAATGAATCCAAGTGAAACGTAGTAAATTGAGTTTGTTGTGGGGGCACCGTGTTCGTGGGTCTGTGTATGGTGAAGGTATACTGTGGTTTTTTTCCTCCGTTTACCCTTTCCCGCCCAATCAACGTCGTGTAACTGTGTAAGTATCTCAATATTGCTAATATTATTAATACTATTATACCTAAACGTCTTCAAGTGGTTCGAATTCGTTGTGTTCCGTATTCCGTATTCTGATACTTCCGGTCGTCGCCGTTCCGTTTTGTGTGCAAACGTATAATATTGTCATACCTGTTATATCGCCGTCGTCGTATGTTCAATATGTTACCTCGTTTCCGGTGGCCAAATCGGTACATAACCGATGGTGGTACAGCACGAATGGAACGTGTGACCCGGCAGTCGTCTTATTAATACCGGAACGTCATCTTCAATCGAATTGTGTGTTCCAGCAGAACCAGCGGCGCCGACGACGGCTGCGGCTCATTCAATCAACTGTCGTGTCATGTCGTCCCTATCGTTGCCAAGGGTGTTGCAAAACCGAAAGACTAGTCTGGACCAGGAACGTGAGCACTTTGAAAAGATTCAGGTAAGGTATCAACAAATTAGTAGGATTCTGTCGGGTAACCTTGACACCTCAGCCTCTTGTTCTAGCTGTACGTCCACTTTGACGTGTTCCGTCATCGCTATTGCAATGTAATGTATACATTATATGTATATATAATATAATATACATGGACCCTATAGTTTGTAGTAGAAAATAAACACTTCAAACCTATGTATTGGCCCAATGCCAATACCACTTGTTACAATTAAACATGTTAATATTATTCAAATACTTTGAGATAAAGATTTCACTTGAACAATAATTAAATGATTAGTATTGATTATACATTTATAACTTAGACTATTGTCATCATTCATACCATAACTTTTGTTTTATTTTTTATTAAATTGAATAATAAGTATCTTATAATTAGATAGTGCAGTGTTTTATAGCCACATTTAGAAGAACTGAGTACATTTTCTACTTTTTGTCACCTTCAGTAATATTTTTCAGAGGTGTAACAAACTGCACCAAATTTTTCATTGTAATAATGGAAGAATTTCATGTAAGAACTTTTATACAGTTATACCTATTTACATGTATTGGCTTACCTATTTTATTTTATTTTTGATATCTGTATGAATTATTTATTTTATTATGATTCATTATTTCTTTAATGCGAGTAATAAGTCAATGTAAATAAGTACTCCCAAATAATTTATTTTAAATGTAGGTGCTATGTTATATTAAAACTATTCTTACTATTACAGTAACTATTCCTGTTATTTTAATAATACTTAATTACTGACACTTACAAGTAATACTTATTGCACTTACCTTAGATTAAAAACTAATTAGATCTAAACCACAAGCTTCCAAAAAATGGGAAAACTGAATTTTGTATGATTAGATATAAATTGTCATATACCTAGTATTATTTTGTACCTATTATATTTTTTTCAGGCTGCAAGCATTAGTAAAGCAATCAATACATTGGAGAACCCAGTAAAAGAAAAACATGCTAGAAGTATCCTTTTCTTAATACATAATAAATTATATAAAATATATTATAATACTTATTTTATAATTTTCAATAATCCATAAAATTAATTCCTTATAACAAATTATTTTAGATGCCATTATAGGTACATTTCAAGAGAAAAGTGCAGAGACTTTTTGGCGTTGTGTCACTAAATTACCATTACAAGAACACCGTATTGTGGCCTGGAAATTTTGCCACGTGTTACATAAAGTTTTGCGGGAAGGCCATCCAAATGTTGTAGCGTCATCACAAAGACACAAAACACTTTTACAGGACTTAGGAAAATTATGGGTACAGTTAAATTTTTTCTCGTCATCATTATATAGAAAAATAGTTTTCATTTTATCAATAAATTGTATTATATATGCAATTTAAAGGTTCATTTAAAAGATGGTTATGGAAAGCTCATTCAACAGTATTGTCAATTACTACTTACAAAATTAGATTTTCATAGACGAAACCCTGGATTCCCCGGCAATCTAGTTTTATCCGAAGAAGATCTTTGTAGAATTGGAGACAATGACGTAAATAATTATTTTCAAATGTGTGTGGAAATGTTTGATTATATTGATGAAATTCTAGGACTTCAGTCTGCAAGTAAGTGTAATTATGGAAACTCATAATTTATATTGTTCTGGTCATGTGTATTTATTTATTTTTTCTTTTAGTTTTTGGTTCATTGGATATGTCTCGCTCAAATTCAATGACTAGCCATGGCCAGTGTCGATTGGCTCCTTTATTGCCTTGCATATTAGATTCTGCACAGTTGTATGATCTATGTGTGAAAATCCTGTTTAAAATGCATGCTACGCTACCACCTGATCTATTATCTGGCCATAGAAAACGTTTCCTAAGACAATTTACCATACTACGTCAATTTTATTTGGGGTCATCTAATCTTCAGTATTTTAAAACACTAATACAGATACCTCTTTTACCTGAGGTAAAATAATTATAAAATAGTGTTTACATTTAATTATGATTATGATTACTATTATATGTATTAGAACCCTCCAAATTTTTTGGTACAAGCGGAATTATCTACCTATGTTACTCAAGCTGCCATTGTATTACCAGATGAAGATCCGTCAGAGAGTAATAGTATGATTGGTGAACTTGTTGATCTGGGAATTGGTAATAGCGTCACTAGCAGTGAAACAAGTCAAAGATCTTTGTCTCCTGATATTTTAACCCAAAGGTATATCATTTTATTTTTTTAGTAAACAAAATAGGGACTTAAACTTATGTACTTCACATAATTTTATGAACAGTATTTATATATATTCTACAGTTGAAATTAGTATGGATATTTATTAATTCTTATTTCTATAATACTAAATGTAATTAATACATCTATGAACATACTTTGCAGGGACAACATGATTCAGCATTTACACGGAGAATTGAACGCTCATCAATCATTAATAATTCAATTAAAACAACAAGTTTCTACATTAGAAATGGAATTGGCAAAAAAAGTATGGGTCTTATTAAAAGAGGACGATGCTACAAATAAAGATTGATTTTTTCTATTGAATGATAATATAGAAGTGCTTCAAAAAAAGTTTTGGTTATCTTAGAGGACAACTACTCCCATGTGGTTACTGTCTGGTGGATGGTGTGGTTTTACGATGACACTCTTGAAAATCAACTTGTATTAAATACAGAAGTAATTGTGAAACAACAATTTTAAGATCAACAAAATTTTTTTTTTGAAGCACTACTATATGTTTATACAATAAAAAAAAATCAGTCTTTTTTAGTTAATCCTTTAATAATGTATCGTATAAATTATTTATTTTATTTATTGATTATTAAATTCCATAGGACAGTGAGTTAACACAAGAAAGGCTTATCAGAGATGATTTACTACACCAAGTAAATTCTATGGACAATTTTGATGAATTGGATAGTAAGTTGTCATACAATATACATTAAGACAAAAATGTCATAGTCAATACTGTAGTGGAGAATTATGTGTGTCATCAATAGAGTCCGGATTTGTATGCATTTATATATTTGTAATGAGTGTATGCATTTCGATGGGAGTAAGAAATGTGGACGATTTGTGTAACAGATAATGCATAGAAAAAAGTTTATTTTGCATTTAAATGCATATTTTAGAGATGACTGCATATTTGAACATTTTTGCATATTCAAGCATATTTTGTATAAAAGTTAATTAAGCCAATTATTTTGTTTCAATTTCATCGCTGAAATTATTAGTTCATTACGTATTTTTGGGAAATAAATGTTATTCTCCGTATGTTATCGCCAGTAAATTGTGCACTAGTGCTGATATATCATTTCCTAATTCGCGTTCCGTAAATTTATTAATTACAATTTTCATTTCATTACAATTTATAAATTTTAAAATGCCGAAAAGTCAAAGCACTATTCCAACTTTAATAAAAACATGGATTGCTCTTCATTAAATATTTACTGTTCTTTAATAAATGTTTAAAGTCAATGTCTATAATTAAAAAATTAAGTTTATCTAATTTTGTTGAATTATTATTTATGGAAGACATTTTAAAAAAAAATATTAAAATGCATGTATTTTGGGTATAAGAGCATATTTTTGCGTATTATTAAAAAAAATAAGAGCATATCAAGTGCATATTTTGAAGTTTTTTGATGCATAAATGCATACTATTTTGGCCTTTTTGAGTGCATACAAATCCGGACTCTAGTCATCAATAAGTATTTTGTAATATTCTAATTTTTATATTAATGTGTAATAGACATCCAGATTTTTATTACTAGATGTTTGATGCTCACTAAAATTTATATTTTACTTTGAAAATTATTGTGATCTAGAGAATTGTTTGATAATCAGCTGAATCACGTGTATGATTTCAGTTACATTTGCATTAATAAATTATAATTATAATATTAGTAACAGCATTTATAATATTTTAAAATTATAATTATCATTTATAGAAAAATATAAATTGCTTGAAGAAAAGTTTAACAAATTGAAAGAAGTGTATACAAAATTGAGAGAAGAACATATTACATTGTTAAGACAGGTAATAATTTGTTATCAAACTCTTATTTACATCATAATATTATGTTTTTAGTTTGGTGCGCTAAATAACTAATTTTTAGAAAGCTGTCGTCGATAAGTCACTGAAAGGATCTGAAAAAATGACTAGATTTGCTCAGGCTGCCAATTCCTTGTTACTGTCCATTGTAAGCTATAGTTGTGTTTTATGTGATGGGCAAGGTATTGGGAAGGTGTAGGTCAATTATTGAATGATTGGTTGTACAAATTATGGTTCTCTTTTTTAATTGATTTAGTTATTCAAATATATTTTTAGTTTATAGTTGAATATTATGATAATAGTTGGTCAAGGGTGTAGTGCTTGTTTAAACTTAATTTATTTTAATACATTATGTGGGATAATTTTCATCAAATTTTCAAAATCTCATTATTATTAAAAATAAGAACTGTTTACTCTTAAACAGAATATTTTTTCGTTAAATGTTGGAATTAAAAATTAAATTTAAGCTAGTAATTAATTATTTATAAAAATTTAAAATATAGAACAGTCATGCCCAACCCGCGGCCCGCGGGCCACATGTGGCCCGTTACAAATTATTAAAATAAAACAAAATATTCCAAAAAAAGTAAAATTATTACAAAATACGATTTTAATTAATTTATAAATAAAAAATACAAATATAAAAATAAAAAGTATATAAAAATGTTTTTATATTGCAACCTACTATGTGTACCTAACTAAATTATATTAAGATTGAGATTATGAGTACTTTTATATTTGGTGGCCCGCTCGATTACAAATGTTTACCAAAGTGGCCCGCCGAGGAAAAAAGGTTGGGCATCACTGATATAGAAGAATAAAATAGTGGCCCGACATCTTGCTGGGTACTCCTCTGCTACTAGTTTGCTCAATGAAGTTGATATACTAATTAATTAACTATATATTAGTCATTGAATTCTTAACTATCAAATGAAGGGATTAGAAAAATATTCTAATTTGGAATATGAAAAATGTATGTTGTCTTTCAAAAAAGTAAAACTTAAATAATGATAACAATATTCCAAAATAATTGTATAATTTTGTAAATATTTTCAAAAATATTAATAGTATTTAAAATAATACATAGTTCAAGTTAAAAGTTAACAATATTTATGAATTACAAACATTATACATACATACAATGTATGTTGTATAGCACTGTAGCAAACTGAAATGATATTTTTAAGGTTAATTCAACGGAATACATGTGTAAAATTAATATATTATTGTAATTTAATAATTTTTGTCCACTTAAAAACGAAAGTAGTTTGGAAATTAGAAACAGATGTATATAATTTAGTGTAATTAGTAGTATTTCATTGGGCATTGTAGTAAGCATCACTGTAGGTATCTATATCAATATATAAGTATAAATATTAAATAATATTCCTTTGTAGATATTAACATATGTAAAATTAGCTTGACCATCATTATTTTTATTATTGTATTGACCTTCTATTATATTATTGAAGATAAAAATATAATTTATTCGCTCATTATGTAGGTTTTATTTCCAATTATTATCATTTATTTTGCTATTTCTTTATAATTTTTCAAGCACCAAAATAATCTAAATGTCTTTCAAATTAAAATTATACTACTTGATATTAAGTTATATAAGTGATATATATTTTATGATTCAAATAAAATGACTTATTACAAATTCTTGTTGTCCATTTAGATGAAATCTGTTTGCAGAATACTATAAGCCAGCGGTGGCAAACCTAAAGGTGTCATGCTGACCAAATTATAATGGCACTTGCAAATAATTTTTATTTCATATCCTTATAGTTGCATTTCATGAAAAATACCCTGTATTCATTTATTATTTGTGTATGTTTATTTCCCCCCAACCTATGAATTTGATCAAATTAAAACAAAGGAATAATACATTGATAAGTGAAGCTAGTTTTACTTGTGTTTAAATAACATTTTTAAAATTTATAAAATAAAAAACTTAATATTAACATTTTTTTGAAAATCCCACTATTCAAAAATAACTTCGTAGGCATGTACAAAAATCTACAATTTTACCATTCCTGTCATGAGCATCTATAAATATAATTTAATTAAAACGTGTTATATAATATTTTATGATGTTTATAAGTATTTATATAGTAGATAAATGTACAATATTGATGTTTATATTAGTGTATATTTTATTTAAAAAAATGTTGTATTTTGAAATAAATCTGGTTATTATAGAAATCTGACGTAGACAAGCAGTTGTCCAACATGCGTACTGTTGAAGTTAATATGGGACCTCAAAGAATAAAGTTTGAAGAGGAATTAATAGCACTCCAAACTACTGTGGATTCAACCACTCGTCAAAATGATGTATGTATAATATTATACAAACCATATACATATTTATATCAACAAATAATTTTTGATTAGGAACTTCTGATGGCAACTGAAGTATTGAAGACTGAAGTTAGTGAAGCAAAGCAAAAATTGACTGATGCCGTACTTATAAAATCTGATTTAGAATTAAGACTTTCAGAATCTGAGGAATTACGATTTTCAAATAATGCTCTTTGGTTTGGTTAGTACATAATGTTATTTATAATGGGATCACACATTAATAATTTTTAAGGAAAGAATTAAGTCAGGAAATTGTTTGAGGACTATCAAAATTACTAAAATCGGTAAAAACCATGTGAACAAAAATGATAAATTACGACACTAGATAGTATATTAATATTGGTTTTTACTTTTTTTTCTTGTTTGTGGGTCGGATAAAATTTGTATGCCGAATGTTATTTAATGACCCCTGGTGTACAACATGCCTATTTATTTTACTTATTTGATGTTTATACAATATGTGATTTTTATTAGAATGCTGTCGTAAAATAATTGAACATACATGTGCAATTATAGATGATCCTTCTATGTCTTCAGCTACTTGTTCGCCTGGTATGTTGTCCAAATATATTATAATTGTAGTACTTTCTAATATTTGTTTTCTCTTGGTCGATTTAGAATGTGTATCTCTAATCAAAGAAAAACTTGTTAGTACCATTGAAAAAGGAAAAGACGAGGTTGCAGGGTTTGCCCATTATGTTGCCATGTACATTATTTTTGGAAAAGCTGTATCAAACACAAAATCTGACCTGAATGATGCTCAAAGTAAATAATTTTCACCCTGTTTTGTTATTTAATATTGGTATTACTTATTTTGTCAATAATAATTTTATTATTTATATTATATCTAGAGCTGTTAGATAAATGCAAACAAGTAGGAAAAGACAGTGTAAAACTCTTAACAGCTTGGCAGACGGGTATCAAAATTGATGAATGTTGTAAGGGTCTTAACAATACATTGAATGATGTAGAATCTATGGCGTCTTCAACACAAGCAAATGAATCTTTGGGTGATTTGGTTGAAGATGAGCTTAGTATAATGGATAGAGCAATTGAAGAAGCAGCTAAACGCATTCAAGTACACATTAAAAGTTAAAATACAAAATATTTTTTAAAATAATAATTCCATATATCTAAAATGTTAGGAAATGATCACCGAATCTAGAGCCGCACATTCTGGAATTAAATTGGAAGTTAATGAACAAATTTTGGAATCATGTACTTCTCTTATGGCTGCAATCAGAGTCTTGGTGCACAAATCACGCAAACTTCAAGCTGAAATTGTAGCTAATCAAGGTTCTAATGGGTCAGCTAAAGAATTTTATAAACGTAACCATCAGTGGACTGAAGGACTTATTTCTGCAGCCAAATCTATTGGTTTAGGTGCTAAAGGGTTGCTGTAAGTACCAATATTATTGAATATTGAAAAAATGTAGCTATAATAATATATAAATAACATAAAATAAGTTTTTTTCAAGAAGTTCACATTATTTTGCCCACACCATTTTTTTTGAAGTTGTGGGAAACAAATTTGTTTATTATTGACTGAGTATAGATATTACAGAAAGCGATAATTATTTTAAATGAGCATAATTTTTGCTAGCAAAGTTGTTTGGACATAACCAACTGTACTCGACTATATTCTAAGCTCAACAGAATTTTGACTTTCAAATCTATAGAATTCTATAAATAAAGAAATATTTGATTTTTTTTTTTAAATTTAAATTTGGATTAGATTTATCAGTTATTTGATGGTTAAAATTGGTAACAAAATCAATACTTATTAATTATTAGTTTGATTCACTAATCATAAAAATAATTTATTTATATATCAGACCTATTTTTAAAGTATTTCTTAATAGAAATGTTTATTAATATAAATGCTTAATTATATCTCCATTATAATCATATTACTTACGTCTTACTATACAACATTTTTCTTTATTTTGTTGGATTGGGTTAAATTATAAGTGCAAATATTTTTATATTACTAGTTATTAGTTTTTGTTTTAAAGTAAATTTTTTAAATTTGTTACATCATAGTTTAGTATATTTTGAAAACTTTTTAAGATATTATTCACTTTTGTAATGTATAAGTTAACTGTGTTAAGATGTTGATACTGTTACTTTAACTGATAATGAACATGTAAAAATATAATATATGAATTTGTATTTAATCATAGTCTAAAAATAATAAATTGTTCATAAATTATGTTCTAAAAATTAAATATGGTTTTAACAGAGATGCGGCAAATGAGGCTGTAAGTGGCGAAGGAAAATTAGAAAGATTAATAGTTGCTTCTCATTGTGTGGCTGCTGGAACAGCACAACTTGTAGTTGCCAGCCGTGTAAAAGCTTCACGAAACAGCGATAATTTGGCTGAATTATCACAAGCTTCACGTAATGTTACAAATGCTACTGCTACGGTGGTAGCCACTGCCAAATCTTGTGCCCAATTAGTTCAACAAACAGGTAAAAAACAACTACACAATTAATAGTTATAATATTTTTGTTCAGAATTTATTTATTATTATTTTTTCTATATATATTTTTCAGAAGAACTAGACTTAGGTGTCCTGAATGAACATCAAACAAAACGTTTAGAAATTGAGTGCCAAGTCCGTGTGTTAGAATTAGAGTCATCATTAGAAAAAGAAAGAATGAAGTTATCTTCATTGCGTAAATTACATTACCAAGACGATCAAAGTTAGCGAACAAAACAAACATTTTCTCTTACCTATAATATTAGTCTTTTGTATCAGATTGAATCTGCTTCCAAATAATTTTTTTTCTAATAATTTGACTGTCAAGTTGATAATTTTCTACTGCTCAACCTACTACTATTAGACAAATTACATGTTAAATTTCTTCTTATTCCATTTTAAGCTTATTAAATTATTGATATTTTTTTAACATTTTATTTCTAATCATGAAAACGGGTTTTAGTAACCTAACTGTATGGCTGTTAAATAATACTATATAGTACCAGTTTCAGAGATCTCTTTACTCGTGTTTATAAAGTTGTTCTTTAATATTATGAAATTGCCAGTCATACATTGAATGTATAGGACTTTTGTACAATAACTATAATATTATTTATTAATAATTATTCAGATTCCATTTTTATTTTACTTTCTTACTGTTTATTGAGCACGCTTGAAATAATTACTTTCTATTTTTTTAAATGTTATTTCACTTGTTGACGTTTATATTAAAAAGTTATGTAGTTTGTATCTTAATGTTTTTTACTAACAATGTATTAAACAAATAATCTAATATTTATTGTTAAAATAATGGATATTATGTTTATTATAATTATATCGTACACATCGTGTAAAATAAGAATGTACCTGGGCGGCGTACCAAGATAGGTTTGCTATGCACAGGTCTGGCGTATGACTATAATATCTTTAGGCTTGTAAATCTGACAAGGTTGCGGGTGGGAAACCAATCGCCACTGGCACTACAAGGTACTTTCTTATTCCGCGGTGAGTATAATTGTTGCACACGCGATCAATTAGATATAAGTCATTATGTTTATATACATTTTTTTCTAAATATAAGAAAACATAAGTTAAAACTTTTTATTATTACTTTATTTGTGGCATATTTTATAATTTTTCTACTTAGCTTACTTATTGGGCCATTGATCTGCGCCAATTCACAAACTATTGTTAATCATTGTAACTTAACCAAATATTTAATTATGTTTCCTTTTTTTATATTATATTATTATTATTACTATACATCTTATATAATAAAATGTGAACTATTACTACTTATTTGGCTGATAATAATTTGTTTCCTACCTTAAAAAATCTTTTTGATTACATTTAGTTTTGACAATTAATAAGTACAATATAAAAGTAAAGTTTCCTACAAGAAGAAAAAGTAAAGACATAAGATTAAATTAAAAGTCTGTATGATTGAAGAAAGATAGTAATATTCAAATGATATTCTTGTTGGTTTGAGAAGATATTTATTGTATTGAAAGAGATTTAAGTTGAGGTCTAAAGTGACAATCGGTGGTCACAATGTGTTGATAGATTGAGGCAGATGAAGAGTAAGTGGTTAATAGCACAGACCATTCGGCCATTATGAAGTGTGCAGAGAGGGGAATCATTCAAAGATGGTGTAAAGAAATGAGAACTGAAAAGGAAGTTGCGTATGGCCAAACCGGAGGACAAGGAGTGATGTTATGCTTTTTCTAGAAATATTGAAGTTGTGAAACCAGGGTAGTATTGGGATGGTTGAAGATGAATTTATGTGCCAGGAGAGAGTGACTCTCAGTGTTTGAACCATAAATTGGATGTGCAAGTCCTAAAGATGGGGATTAAGTCAGACCATGGGATTTTTGTACTTGAATGACATCTAAGGAAAGCTGAGGATTTAGCTAGCTTGTCGGTCATTTATCTCAATTCCATTGTGGCTTGGTAGTTGGTACCCACAGTAATTAAATGTCAGTACCAGATTCTGTTAGAGAATATAAAATGTCTTAATAGTGATTATAAGAGGAGAAAGATGCGATTTGAAAACATTAGAACTGAGAGCTTGAAAACCTGACAGAGAGTCAGTGGCCATGAGAAATTGAATTGGTGGAAAGGATGAGATTATATTGAGTGCTTCAATAATTAGTCTCGTACCCTTAGCTATAAACTATTTATAGATACTTTCAAATACCTACTTACATTACAACTTTTTATAAATATATTTTTTATCTTATACATCAACAGAACTGATTTTCATGTTTTACGTTAATTTTATAAATAATTTTACACCTTATCATTTAGATTTAGTCTAACTATACAAATATAATAACTATCTGATTTTTTTTGTCGAAGTATTAGAATTTTCGTTTGAGTATAATAGTATAATTCACAGTAAAATAATAAGGCTTTTTATTTTTAAATTTGCGTGTTTAGAATAAAAATAGAAAATATGTTAACTAAAACGAATAAAAAGGTATTTAAAGTTTAAACTAGGTACGTATTTGATGCTTAAAAAGTATTTTAATACTCTTACTCTAGTATTTAACAAGACTGAGCATCTACTGGGTACCATAGTATGGTCGGTGACCGCGGAGGTCACAATACAACCCACCAGGAGGTTCTGTCGGTTCCAGTCAAGTATCATTAATTTTGGACACTATATAGTACTATACTACTATAGTAGGTACCCGGGAAAAGTCTGTGCTGTACAGAGAAAAAATAAGTATTTATACTTTGCTATTATGTTCTTAATTCTTGTGTCAAACAAATTTAAAAGTTAGGGGTCTTATAAGTTGCTTAAAAGCACAACAAAAATGTTAAAGATACGTGGGTATGTTTTTAAAAAAAAAACATTACCTAAAAGTTTATACTTGAAAAAATGTATCAAAGTAAAAAGTATTTAATTGGCAAATTATGAAATGTTTAATTTTTTTAACAAAGAATTTAAAATTTAAAACTAGGTTCCTTATAGATAGTTCATACCGTGACCACAAAGTCTAAAAAATGTATAAACCGTTTTTTTTATAGATGATTTAAGTTAAAATGTAGAAAAAATTTGATATTTCAACTAGGAAAAACCATTTTAGTTATTATGTTGTAATTTAAAAATATTCGTGGGTATATGAAAGAGAAAATCAGAAAAAGATTATTATATTATTTCATACACATAATATTAAGACATTTTCAAATGTAATGTTTTTGGAAAAAATTGATTCAACCAACAGTTTAACTAATATCATAGTAAGTACCTACATAATAGGCATATTAAATTACTTCAACCGTAATTATACATTGATATAACAAACTAAAATTGGTAATGATTTAGCTTAAACATAAATGTACTGTCTCTAATCTATCTATTTGCAGTTTGATATATTTTTATTTTTAAAAATTCCTTTTAACTTCCGTAAAAACATTTTTAATACCTATTATGTCCATAATACGATCCTCAGATGAAATATACAAATAATTAAGAACAATTAATAACCTTGAAGAACTTAAGATATAATGTTTAAAAGTGCATTAATCATTCATTCTAAGTATATAAGAGTAGGTATTCAAGTGTATTATTTCAATTTATACGCACCCTGAATTCAATCTATTGCATAAGACCACTTATACAAACGATTATACATCTGTTGAAACCACGGATTAATATACATAAATATGTATATACATGTACGAGTTAGGTTGTAGTTAGGTATGTAAGAATTATAACATTCTGTAAATAGTCACTTGTATTTTTAAATAGTCCTAATATATAACAGAACATAACCAAATTAAAGATGAAGTTGAAATCTATCAAATGAAGTAATCCTTTTGACTCAGCTGCTTGCTGCTCTATCACTTTTTTCATTAATTAAATTGTTTAATAAAACCAGAAGAGGGCTCAATACTTTCTTTAATGAAACACAAGCAAATACCTGTGCCGTCCATCGGGTCAAGCATACTCTTTTTAGCTCAATAATAGATTTGTATTTCATATCTTTTTGAATTTTAACAAATTTTGCATGTACAGAAGAACCGGATACAAATATATATAAATTCTCCACTGTACCAAAAAACATTTTTACATTTGTTACATTTTTACAAACATCGGATATAATGAGATTAAGTCTATGGTTATAACAGTGCACATAAATGGCTTGAGGTATACTTCTTCACGAAACAATGCTTGAACCCCATTCAACCGTCCACTCATTACACTGGCCCCATCATAAGTTTGTGAAACACATTTCATAATATCAATATTACTATTGGCAATAATTTCTTTAATATATACAAGAAGAGATTTAGCACATAATGACTTAGCTGCTCGGTAGCCCATAAAACGCTCATAAATTACACCATTCAAGAAGTATCTTATAACTACTGATATCTGCTCTATTTTGCTTATGTCTTTTGTTTCATCTACTATAATAGAAAAATATTGAGACTTTTGTAGCTCATCACTTATTATGGCTTGGATCATATCATTAAAAATTGACAACATTTCATTTTGAATCTGTGGACTGGTGTACTTGGCGTTATTTGGTAATGATCTTCTTTTTGATTTAAATTCATCATTAAAATTTTCCATAAGGTTCAAAAGTTCTACAAAATTTCCACGATTGAGGCTGCTTTCTCCTTCATTATCACCTCTTTGAGCTATGCCTTGTACTGCTGTATACAACAAAACCCTTCCTATTGATTTAATGAAGTTACGGTTTTCTTTTACTAGTTTCAGATGTCCATCATTT